TGCAAATAAATTAAAGGTATCAACAGTAACAAAGAAGAAAATCCTAACTTTTTGGGGAGCATGGATGGACCTGGAGAGTATTATGCTAAGTGAAATAAGCCAATCAGGGAAAGACAAATACCAAATGATTTCACTCATATGTGGAATCTAATGAACAAAATAAAAAACAAAAACAAAATAGAAACAGACTCATAGATACAGAGAATAGATTGACAGCTGTCAGAAGGGAGGGATTTAGGGGGCTGGGTGAAAAAGGTGAAGGAATTAAAAAAACACACACATACCTCATAGCCAAGGCAACATTATAATGATTACCAGAAGGAAAGAGGGGTAGGGGAGGTAGGAGAAAGTAAAGGGCGGTAATTGGTAATGGAAGGAGGATTGGCTTGGGGTGGTGAACACACAATATACAGATGATCTATTATAGAATTATACACCTGAAACCTATATAATTTTATTAACCAATGTCACTCCAATAAATTTATTTTTTAATATATTTTATTGATTTTTTACAGAGAGGAAGAGAGAGGGATAGAGAGTTAGAAACATCAATGAGAGAGAATCATCGATCAGCTGCCCTTGCACACCCCCTACTGGGGATGTGCCTGCAACCAAGGTACATGCCCTTGACCAGAATCGAACCCAGGCTGTCCACAGGCTGATGCTCTATCCACTGAGCCAAACCGGTCTCGGCTCACTCCAATAAATTTAAATGAATCAATTCATCAAACAAACAAACAAAGGTATCTGAGAAACTCACATCTTATGGCTGTGAAGGCCTAAGTCAGATCTGTAACGAGCCCTTCTAGTTCCTACTGTAGCTTCAGTGTCCTCCTACCTCCTATCCTCATAAAAGGATACCTACCTTACAGAATGGAACACACCTAACAAGAGTTTGTGTAATGCACATATAAAGTGTGGAATGAATATTTGTGCTTCCCCTAATCCCTAACATGATGGTGTTTGGGTAAGATGAGGTCATGAGGATAGAGATCCCATGATGAAACTAGTAATCTTGTTTTTTATATATATATATGTGTGTGTATATATATATATATATATATATATATATATATATACACATACACACACACACACACACACACACATATATATATATATATATATATATATATATATATATAAAATTAATTTTTTTACAGAGAAAAAGGGAGAGGGATAGTTAGAAACATTGATGAGAGAGAAGCATCAATCAGCTGCTTCCTGCACACTCCCTACTGGGTATTGTGCCTGCAACCAAGGTACATGCCCTTGACCAGAATCAAACCTGGGACCCTTGAGTCCACAGGCCAATGATCTATCCACTGAGCTAAACCGGTTAGGGCAGAACTAGTATTCTTATAAAATGAGGAAGACACACAACATCTCTCTCCTTGTGTGTGCACACACCAAAGAAGGCTATGTAAGGACACAGCCAGGGAAAGGGCCCTCTTTTAGTACCTGACCATGCTAGCACCCTGATCTTGGACTTCCAGACTTCAGAACTGTGAGAAATAAATGTTGTTTAACTGCCCAGTTTATGGCATTCTACCATAGAAGCCCAAACTATCATCCCAAACTATCACCTGTGCAAACACAGGTGCCTCACACAGTGCCATTATCACCATCCTGCAAGAATTTAAGAAAAGTACACTACTTTTTAGTGTGAATCCTCTGCTCTAATCAGACTGACAATGAGGTTACTACCCTGCAATACTAATGCCTATATCAATCCTTGAACCAAATACCCTCCTCACGATCCTCTTTGGCCATCAGCTTCACCCAACTTGACATCGTTCACCTCTGCACGGGTCTCCCTGACCACTGTGATTACTTTCCTTTGAGGCGACATCACCAGTTTCAGCCATTCCATTCATTTCTCACTTACCATATGCTCCTTCTGCCTTCCTGATTTTTGTGAATGAAAATGCTCATCTCCCTAACTGGAATCCAAGCTCTTGCAGGGCAGGAAGCACATTTACACTCTGGACTCCCTGGAGCACCCTGCGCTCATGTTTCCCAGCCTTCACGGGGCAGATTCTCAATGGAGCCCAACCATCGTCTGTCTTACCCCGAGTCAGCTCCCTTTCCTTTTTCTCTCTCTAATCTGTTCTACTTGCCTCCAGATGGCAGCTCTCTTTTGTTCCAACAAGTTCAACAGTCAAGTTGCCTTCCTACTTTGAAAAAGAAAAAAAAAAGGCCAATCCAAAGGGAAATTTCCTAGTCCTCTCCAGCTTTCTTTCTTTCTTTCTTTTTTTTTTTTTAAATATATTTTATTGAATTTTTTACAGAGAGAAAGGGAGAGGGATAAAGAACTAGAAACATCAATGAGAGAGCGACATCGACCAGCTGCCTCTTGCACACCCCCTACCGGGGATGTGCCCGCAACCTATGTACATGCCCTTGACTGGAATCAAATCTGGGACCTTTCAGTCCGCAGGCCGACGCTCTATCCACAGAGCCAAACTGGTTTCGGCCTCTCCAGCTTTCTTGATAACTAACCCAGCCTTTCCAAGCTTTCTCCTGTCTTAGATGAAAAATTCCCCCACCTCCTCCAGTCTAAAATTAGTTAGTCTCTCTTAGAAGATCTTAACTTTTTTTCTCCTTTAGGATCTTACTCCTTCAAATCCGTGCTATTTCATCTCACTCACTCTCTCCCCAGATACTACACACACGATTCACAACACAGACTTCCCTTTCAAATACTGTTTTTCCTTTGTTCCTCAGAGCAGTAGCCTACACTTCCTCTTCCCTCACTGTAATCCGCCTTCTGCCCCAAAGCAAATCATTGTAACCACTTTCTCAAATGCCCCTAGTATCCCCAAACAGCCAAGTTCAAGGTTCCATCCTTGTCTTCTTTTATTTGTGTGAGAGTTGACTCAAATTGCACTTCCTTTTTGCACTCTCTTCTAGACTCCCAAACTGTGAAAACTATCTACAGGACCACCACCAGCCCCAAACAGGTGTCTCCTCCTGCATTATCTATCAGACGACACCACTATGTATCCCAGGTGTGGGATCATCTGGCCCGGGGGCCGAATAAGGCCCACAAAATCATCTGTCTGGCCCTGCCAAGACATTAGGGTGAGTTAATTAAATGTTTAACCATATATAGCAGGCTAATCCTTAAGTTGATAATTTTGTATGGACTGCTAACGATGTTATAAAAATCCAAATGGCCCTTGGCAGAAAAAAGGCTCCCCACACCTGAAACCAGTCTTCAAAGATAGACACCTCGCAGAAACCTTCAACTCCTCCCTCTGCCCTACACTCAGCCAATGACGCTTCTATTAACTCCACCTTTAAAATGTCTCCAAAGCTCCTCAACTGTCCATGCTCACACCACTGACGTAGTGCAGGCTTTCATCATCCTGCACGGAGTGTGACCTTCCCAACAGGTCTGCCAGCCTTCTGGAGCTCTACTTCCCACTGAAAGCCAAGTGATCAATCAGAAATACTGATCTGATCATTCAATTGCTCAATAAATAGTCACTGACTGCTTATTATGGACTGGCACTGTTTGAAGTATTGGAATAAGACATCTCTGAGTATATCTTTCTATACCATTTTATACAATAAAAAGTACCAAGTGCTTTTTTCTTGCCAAAAAGCATTAACATGCCCTTGACGGTTCTGTTCAATGGATAGAGCATTAGCCTGCAGACTGAAGGGTCCTGGGTCCAATTCCAGCCAAGGGCATATACAGGGGTTGCAGGCTCCATCCCCAGTAAGGAGCATGCAGGAGGCAGCCAATCAATGATTCTCTCTCATCGTTGATGTTTCTATCCCTCTCTCCCTTCCTCTCTGAAATCGATAAATATTTAGAGATTAAAAAAAAAAAAGCATTAACTTGAATCTTATGAGGAATCGACCAGGGAAATGTGAATATGAAACATTCTACCAGAAAGCTGGTCTGAATTCTTTTTTTAAAAAAAGTCAATGTTTTGGGTGGAGGTGGTGGGGGCGAGGGAGGGGGGCAGGGAGGCTGGAGTTATTTTAGATCAAGAGACTAAAAAGAGAGAATTACCAAACACAATGACCCCCTGATTGGATCCTGGAGCTACAAGACCTTTTTGGGACAACTGGGAAAGTTAAAACTAGATATTAAGTCATTATTGAATTTCTTAGTGTGATAATGACACTGATATTTGGAGGATGTCCTTCATCTTTAGAATGCACGCCAAAGTCTCTAGAGGCAAAATGTCATGATGACTGCACTGCTACTTGTTTTGAAAATGATTCAGGGGGCAAAAGTGAGAGAGAGCGAGAGCGAGAGAAAGAGAGAGAGAGGGAGTTAGTTTAGAGGTGGGAAGAAGAAGGTGTAAAAAATTGGGGAGGGGGGAATTTGATAGTGCTATTTTGAAGGCAATAACTGATAAAGAAAATTCTGACAAAAAGTAATGTATATTCTCTGAGAAAAAAAAAAAATCTCTTCCTGAGTATATCTTAAGTTGTTAAAATAGATAGTTGGCCAGCCCACTGGTGTAATAAACACTTTTTCGTTTCCCTTTCATCTAAAACTTAGTGCAAAGAATTAAAGACCAAAATGATTTATAATCTAGCAGTTACTAACAGGCAACTCCATTCTGTTTAGAAAATTACACTAAAAACAACACTGAATGCTACAATATGGGTAAACTTCTGCCAAGTGAATGAAGCCAGTCACAAAAGACCACATAATATATGGTCCCATTTATATGACATATCCAGAACAGGCAAATCATAGAGACAGAAAACAGATTAGTGGTTGCCTAGGGCTGGGGATGTTGGGGGGACATGGGAAGTGACTGCTAATGTGTATGGGTTGCTTTGGGGGGCAATAAAAATGTGGTGATGACAGTACAACTCTGTGACTGAATTGTACATCTGAAATGGCTGGACTGTAAGGTACATGAATGCATCTCAATACAGCTGTTAAAAAACAGAAAAGAACAACATAGGAGCAAAATGCCCAAACCCACCCTGAGCACCCTCACCTCCCACAAGCTGCTGGCACTCACTTGGAAGCCTTCATGGAATCATCAGCCCAGCCTCCTTGCCTGCGGCGGGGTGGTTTGGGAGGAGGATCCTACAAGGAAAGGGAAGCCAAAATAACAATCACTCAACATGTGCATTCAAGCAAGCAATGGCTGAGGGTAAAGTCACCTAACCCAATACTCAACTTATCAAAACTTTCCAAATAAAAATACAGCAACCTTTCAATTCACTACAAAGATCTGGGTGTTTTCATACCCTTCTGGTGGATATAAACTGGCAAGATCTAGAGGATAATCTGGCAATGTCTATGGAAGGCCTTAAAAATAAATGTTCATGCTGTTTGAGCTACCAATTCTAATTCAAGGAATTTATCCCAAGGAAGTAATCAAAGAGAAACACAATGTCATTTTTGAACAGTGAATACATAATTGGAAACAAATGAAACAGACAGCAATAGGCATTAAGTAAATCACAAAATACACATGTGAAAATACTGTGCAATAATAAAAAAAAAAACATGTTAAAAAGGATATTTAATAATATTAGGTTCATTATACATTTAACTTTCAAAAACATGTAAAACAGTAGGCATATGCTTCTGATTTTGTGGAAAGACTATTAATACCGAACATCAATTAACTCTAAGTACGTGGGTGAAAGGGGACTTCAGTGACTGAATTATGGGAAATTTTTATTTTCCTTCTTTGTACTATTGGGCATCTTCCAAATTTTTAAATAATCAACTTATACTACTTTTATAAAGTAATGAAATAAATATGTGTGAGAGGTTTATTATTGTCTGGCATATCTCAACTAAAAATCCCAAAGGACCATCAAGCAATCCACTCAATCACTCAAGTGAGATAAAACAAAGAACAGTTCCTATTTTTAATTACCCAGCATTTACCTAGATTTTTTTTAATACCTTATCCCCCCCACCCCCACCCCTTCAAGAACTTCACATAATCATAACTGTTGTTCTCAATCTAAGGAGACACTTAGGTAAATGCACTAACACAGGGTTGGCAAACATTTCCTATGAAGGGGTAGGGGTAAATATTTTGATTTTGGAGGCCATCCAATTTCTGTGGCATCTCTTCCACTCTAATACTGCAGGGCACTAAACAGCCACAGGTAATAAGTAAGCAAGTAGGTGGAACTGTGTTCCAATAAAACTTTACAAAAATAAGCTGCGGGCCAAATTGGGCAGGAAGGATGTGGTCTCCCAATGCCTGGACTGAAATGTGCCTCTAACCGTCCTTTAAATCTGTTGCTTAAGGGCTAATATAACTTTTTAAGAAAACACTCCCTCAAGATGCCAGAATGCCTTTCTACCAGCCTGACCCAACTGGAACCAATGGAATTCTCTGTCCCAGGAATCTGGAATTGAGGCTCAGAGGTTAGGCTGTTCAGACCGCACTGAGACTGGAACTGCAAGGACTAGGTGGAATCAGAATAACCCAAACTGCACCAGCCAAAGTTGTATATAAGCAGAGACCAAGAATCTTGTCTTGTTGAGCTCTTACCGCTGGAAGGCACTGTGTTGGGAGACTTAAATATTAAGGAGAACTGTACTGAACCACAGCAAGATGTTTTTACACCCATTTGCCTTTAAACCATCTATGTGCTTTTGCAAATAACATCTATATTTCATTACCCAAGGTTAGAGACATTTTGTGATAATGTGAATTCTTGAGTCTAAAGGTCTCAAACTTGTAGCCACATGGTTTGTTTGGCCACACAGTGGTTTGTTTTAAAATTTAAAAAGTAGGGGCGGAGGTAAGGACCCTTTTACATCTGGCCTTAGCTGTTACTTTGACTAATGATGAATATCATATAGTTAATAAAATTTCCTAAAATTAAAAAACCAAAATGATCGCTTTCTCCTCTTTAACCACAAATCCAAGGAAGCCATGGCTATTGGGAGGATGAATGAAATCCTTCCCACCTAGAGGTAACAACATGACCCATTTTCTCTTATTCTCTCCATTGCAAAATGGTACCAGTAGCTAAATTAGGACAGCATCTTCAAAATGTGGGCGAAAGGGGGTGCTATAATAAATCTAACAGAAAGTAACCTCACAGGGTGAACTGATTACAAATTCCTACCTGGGCAGGTCATGAAGTGCCAGAAGTAATCCTCTTTTCTGACCACCCGAAGGCTAACGACCCTCTTTTTAACTATCCTGTAACTTGCTTTCTATCACCTTCATGTAATCTTCCTTACATTCCCTCCTCAATTCTAAATGTATAAAAGGAAGTGCTTAAATGTTATTCTCTGAAGCATCTGAGATCTTGCTTCTTAGCAACTGTCATCAGTTTGGCTCAAATCAATTCTTATAAAATTGAAGGTCTGGTCATTCTTACATTGACAAAAACAAAAAGACCACCACGTAACTATCACTCCTCCACATCCAATAGAATTCGACAACTAGTTCCAAAATCAAAGGTTTTGTGTTTGGTTTTCTTCACACTAATGACCAGACTTCATAACTTGGGATTTGTGGCAAAACTGTACACTACTTTTCACCGCGATCACCTGAGAGAGGAAGACTTACAGAGAAATTCTCTGCACGATATGAGGCAGGATTATAGCTGTCCTCTACTACCCAGTGGGAGTCTTGGCCATCCTCAGGAGAGAATGCCGAGGCAGATGGGAGATGGGAGGGCAGACGGAACTTACTGTCTACAAGTTAGGCGTTGGGCATTTCATGGGAGAAGTCTCTTTCCTGATAGAGAATCCTCATGTTCATGACTGAGTACCCTGAGTCCAAGGATAAAAATTTCTTTTGTAAATACTCTCAACCCTGAGTCTTTGTTGTGGCCACATACAGATACCCTGTTTGGATGAGACAGACTTAACTAACCATTGTTGCCAAGTTATAATACCTGTGTTCTCTTGCTGGGGAGCTGGGCCTGTCCTACGCGCACCAGGTGCGTTAGAAAAAGCAGGATTTCATGCCTGTCCTCAAATACTGCCTCAGTTCAGTGAAACTTAATTGAGGCGGAATTCAGATTTCAAACAGCATCAAGGCTGTTTGAAATCTATGTAACTGGACGTTGCTTAATCTGAAACTTAAGAGGCCACAATGGGGGCTGAAGGAAGGTATTGGGGATGGAGGTACTGAGTGCCCTTTCATGGAGAGGCTGCATTCAGGGTCCAGAAATGAAACTGAGGAGGACTCCTCAACCATGGGGCAGACCCACTGACTTCTGCTGTTTTCTTGTCACTTTTGGTGTTTTTATTGGGCCACTTTCTCCTGGGACATCACTAAGACTGTGTGCTCTGGCAACATGAATAAACCTTTATACGTAACTGAAGGCTAACCATACTTGTACAAACTTGAGAAGAACTAAGGACAAGGAAAGATCCAAGAAGCTGTATGGGAAAAGTGTGGCTCACTCCAGATTGGACAGATACACAGAGATGGTAAGAAAGCATTCCAGAAGCAACTAGATATAAGGTGCAAGATAGTATATAATACTCGGGCTGTAGCAAATGCTATACACTGATCATCATATTGGAGGGGTCCCTGGGAAAACTCTTGGTGGAGGGGGAGGTATGATGAGCTCCTCAGCATCCATTACCTGACAGTGTAACTGATGTAACTCAAGCACAATGCAAGGGTTTGAACTTAGGTGCAAATGATCTATTTGAAATGTTGCTGGATGAGTAGTTTTTAGGGCCTGGGTGGACAGTTTGGCCTTTGAATGCCTGGCTGCTTTCCCTCAGAGCCACGATGACATCTAAATACCTATTTAGCCCTGTTTCAAAGATCCCACGGTTCTCTCCCCAGGGTGATCTGCCTACACCAAGCCACTACTCCTAGGTCAAGCTGCTCCTTTTAGGACCAGATGCCAGAACTGCTGTGCTTCCCCCTCCCCATGTGGTCACAGATCAGATGCTGGGGCAGTTAGGAGAGGGGTGGGCCTGGATGCCCTCCCCAGGGCAAATGTCACAGCCCCAGTCCACCTGCAGTGGTAAGAAGTTGTAACCTTTAGTTACGGATCCCTCCATTTGGGCCAGGGAGCCTTCCCTCCCCGGCCCACCAAGTCTGGATAGTCAAGAGAAGACATGAATATGTGATTTATTTTTTCTCAAATCTTGTGTGTCTGAGTTTTCTGTGTTTTGAGTTCTCTGTGTAATGGCCTGGGAATGTAAAGGAAAGGGAATTTACTCTTGCTTCATCCTTGAACCTAGAAACTTAATCTTTAGGCAGGCTGAGGTCATTGTGGCACTTTTCTCATGGAGCACACACCAGTTCCAGAATCCACCTTAGCCAAGCACTTGGGAAGAAATAGCCAGTCTGTTTGAGTTATGACTTGGGAAGAAATCTGTTTGCTATTTGTTAGGAAGGAACAAAAAAGAAAAGACTTGAATGGATGAGAGAGGATAGAACTCAAGTGGTCTTAAAAAGCCAAAAGAGAAGGCCTGATCCTAAAATTCAAAAGTGCTGGTGTATTCTTTAAATTGTTCTGCTTGTGAAATTTAGGGCATCATCTGCTGAAAAAACAATTTCCAATTTTGGCAGATTTACTGCCAAGTAACATTACTCAAACTTGTTTTTAGAAGAGAGCCTTAAAATGTGTAACACCGGGAGGGACAGAAATAGGGATGGCGAGGGCAGCCCTAAGGCAGTGCATCCTTCGTGTTCTCTCCTGAAAGCTCGAGTCACGTATCGAGTGTGGGAAATGAGCAGTCTGCCGAGTCTGCAGCCTGATGGACAGAAGGGGGCAGGACCCCGCATAGCTCCTGAGGAGAAGCAAAAATGTGCTCCCTCCAAAAATAAACAGGGGGCAGGAATAACTGTGAGTAAAGAGTGGGAAGCACATGACTGGTGGTTGCAGTCCTGAAATACCAGCTTTCTACAAAAAGGATCCTGTGACAGGCAGAGAGCGGGAAATTCAGGAAACGGCCTCTTTATATGGTCTCATCCGAATGGCCAGGATTCAACCAAGTGGAATTACCAAGTCAGAGGGAGCCTTTAGGGCCAGACTAGTTTCTGATCTTTATATGGTTCCCCCAGATTCTTAAGATGCCAAAATAGAAAAGATACTGCAGTGCCAAAAAAGGAGCCTTTTGAGTGTAGA